TTTTTTCTCTTCCATAAAGCCCCTTTTTTTAACCCCCCCGTCTCTTGCACACAATCTCCACTATTCTGGATCAAAGTAGGCAAAACACTCAGCCCTATTTCCGAATTCTCCACCTGAGTTTGCTGACCTTCCACTACCATCTCCATTAAGTTAGAACAAGATTCCACTGCAGTGGGTACAATAAGAAGTGCCTGAGAATTCTGCGGTTCAAGCTCAGCACCCTGGTCCTTCTCTTCACTTTCCATTGCAGCCTCAGGTTGCTGATTAGAGAATTGCACAGGAGTGACACTGGCTGAGACTATAGAATCATGATTAGAATGCTGCTGAGGAGGGGCACTCTTTGCTTCAGAGCTACTCGCGAAATAACTTCTCCCACCGTGATAAGTCTCCTTAACTTTGAGCCATTCTCCGAATTGCCCTTCCCTTGGTTTCCCCTTCTCAATATCCTCCGCCCTCTGCAGACACCCCCTGTCTAGGTGACCTATCCTCCTGCAGTAGTAGCACAAGTTCACAAGTCTCTCATACCTGAAGGCAACCATAGTGCTCTGTTCACCCAGCTTAACAACAGTAAATCTGGGAATAGGCTCATTCAGGTTTAATGCAACAAGAATTTTAAGGAAACTCCCAGCTTCACCTCCCACTTTACAAACCACCACATTTTTCACCTTATTGAAGATTTGCCCTATCCTCATTCCCGCTTCTGTGCACATCCAGTTGAGTGGAATATTCATCACCTGGAACCAGATATTGATCTCCTCAAAGCATGGGTGATTGCTATGCAACCCATCAATCCACTCCGTTAGTATCAGGTACTGGTTCTCAAAGAGCCAGTTATTACCCGCAGCTACCTTTGCCTTATCCTCCATAGACGAGAATATAAACTGAAAGTAATTTGAACTGATCTCCTTCACCTCCATCGATTGTTGGAGTCTCCAAATACTGCTCATAGTCCGCTTCACCCCCATGATACTAGCTGGTCTATCCCCCACCACCTTCCCGAACAAACTCCACTCGCATTCCTCCTTGCTAGCTTTCACATCATCAGTGCGCAGCTTAACGCCACCCGCCTCCTTTTCTGACAGCGAACAAGCCAAGAGCTTATTCAAGACATCACCATCCATCTCACCCCGAATATCCTTACCCCAAGCATTTTCCCCCATCCCTCTAACCCCCAAATTACACCCAGAAACCCTAGCAAGAGCCTCCCCGAAAGAAACCCACACAAAAGCACAACAGATGCACCTCGCACAGCAATAATAAGAGAACAATAGAAAGAAATCCCAACTCCCACCAGAAGAATTTGGATCTCACCAAGATAATTTACCTCTCACCAAGAGAATTTCGCTCTCAACCGAGAGAATTTTCTGAATATGTAATAAAAATAGAAAATTAAAAAGTGAAGTATTATAATAGTCCCTTCACTAATGGGTAAAGCAAATTTGTAGAATTTTTTTTTTATTTTTTTATTTTTTCAGTTTTTATTTATTGGTATCTTTTATGTAGCTCTTCATGTTTATGAAATTACTTGCCTCATCATATTATATAATAAAGTATTTATTCATGGCTAATGTTGTAAATATTCAATCATTAAAATTTATCAATTAATATGTTTTTGTAAACTTTGAACATATATAAAATTTTATACTTAAGAAGGGATGAAATATGTCGGGCTACCAGAGCACAAAATGCACAAATACATTTTACAGACACTTGGAGCTTTTTTTTAATTGATTTCATTGGTAAAAATACAATATAGGTTGATTTTAGGGGCGAATTCGAAAAAACATTTGGGAGGGACTGGATTATTATTCAGCCATAGTTGTTCAAGAATATAACTTGGTTTGATTTTTGAAAGTTTTTGAGGCCGGACTTACTTAAATGAGACGAGTTTGAACAATAGATTAAGTTTATAGACGTGTTCCCTAACAATTCGATTAGAATTTAAGAATTTAAAATTTGAAATTATTAAAACTGTTCGAGTGGATGAGCCGAATTTTATTCACATTTTTATTATTTAATAAACAAGTCAAAACAATTTTGAATATAAGGTATTTGACAAATTTTAAGTCCATGACATTTTGAGGGGAGTATATAATTTTTAATAGCATCAAATTACATTAAGTATAGATATTATAATATGTAAGGTTTACTTAAAAATGCTAAAGGAAATAATAAAGTTGCAGTATAAAATTTTACAATCATTTAAATTTGATAGTATAAATATTGTGTTCCACATTCTTTCAACTCATAAAATTCACTAACAATTAACTCGATATTAAAATTTAGAGGAAATTACACCATGTACTTTCAGATATTATTTATATTACACTTATATACCTATTATATTTTTATTTATACAATTACTAAATGAAACAAAAAATATTACAATTTGACCTAAGATTTATGTAACCGTTTGTTAAGAAATTATTAGCTAATTAAATGCAATTGAGATCATTAATTGAAATTAAATATATACTTACCAAAATATATATCACCTTTCTCTCTCTCTTTTCTTGCAAAACCACTCCAGCGAGCCCCACGTTCGCCCCTCTCTCCCTGTAAAAAACCTCTCCTTCAATGGCGAAGCAAAAATTCTCCGATATACTCGAACAAAACAATTGTAGTTATGAAGCATGAACTTCAAGAATATTTTTCGTTGCTTTGGGATTTTTATTTTCAATTCTGGCAATGCTAATTTTGTTTTTATTTTTTATAATTTCTTAAAACATTACAGAATTGCTAAACTATCATTCTTGTTAATTATTCCCAATACATTCAATTCTTCTTAATCCCTGATGGTAAATTATTCATATGATTTCAGGTTCACATCTCATCCGCTTACAGTTTGGTCCAAATCCCCGATTCTCCCTCGATTTTCTCTACTTCCAAAAAAAAAAAGCAAGGGAATACTGAAAGATGTGCTTGCTGGTGTCATCATCAGGTAGGCGATCCGAGAATCAGTCTACATAGAGTCGACGAGAGAGAAAAAGAATATCATTTGGAGGATGATTTTGTATTAGAGTATATGTATAGTATATGTACAATATATGACCCGCGTCCTCCTGAGCCATCCCGCGACCACCACGACATCCTGGCCGATGATGAACGTAAAATATACTATTTTTCAATGTTATTTGATGTATATTTTACAGTTTATTTGATATATAGTCAGTTTTGTTTCATTTTTCGATAACATACACTGAAAATATACTGAAATATATTGTTTTTCAATGTTTATTTGATGTATATTTATAGTTTATTTGATATATAGTAAGTTTATGTTGTTTCATTTTTCGATACTTTAAATGCAAACATACACTGAAAATATTATAAACGCTAACATATACTGAAAATATACCGAAAATATACTTAAATATGATTTTAAGCGCAAACATACACCGAAAGTATACCCTGAAAAAAAAATAATAAAGATGCAAATAACGCGCGAACAAACGATGAGAGTTTTTTTTCAGTATATTTTATGAAATTTTTTGTTGGTGTTGTGTATATGTATAGTTTTATATTAACTAATATGTTATAATATGTTTTTATATATATACTTTTATGAATAAAAGAAAAAAAGAAAAAAAAAAGAGGAAGATATAATTTTTTTGATGGAAGACATTTTTTTTTATTACAACATATACTGAAAATATACTAACACAAATGCAATATATACTAATGACAACTGTCGTGAATTAAGGAATTCCAGTTGCGCACATATACTGAATCTATATATATATTAAAAGCCAACCTATTTACCAAAAATAGTAGCAAGAAAAGTCAACACACATTTAATGCAAACCTTATTTAGAAATTTTTTTACTATATGCATTGAATGCTTGCATATTTACATTTCCTATCCACATATGATCTTAAAGATTTTTTCCTTAAATAATTTATGCAATGATTTTACTGATATCCATTATAATTAATATTTGTCGAGTAATATTTTTTTATAAAACTAATATTTTTTTTAAAAAATTAATATTATTTATCATTTAAAAGATAATAATCACATCATTAAATGATTTTATTGATGGTTAGATAATAAAATTATATTAGTTATTCTTTAAAATTTCGACATGTTATTTATTTGTATATTATTGTGAACTATGATAGTGTTTTTATCACTTTTTTTTTGTTATGTTTAAAAAATGAACTTATTGTAAAATATTTTTCTATTGCATCATACGTTAACTAAACTATAAAGGCTTATGATGAAAATTAGAAAAAATCTCTTGATTATGTAAGGGATTTATTTTTTGGCAATTGCTAAAACATTTTTTTTTTTTTAAAAAAAGAATTATTATGAGAAAATTGAATTCTAAAAAACATGTGTGTGTATTTTGTAAACATTTATACTCAAAATTTTATTTTGAATTTCATTACATAAAGAAGACTACTTCTATAACTTTTATAAATAATAATAATGACATTATATAACTATAAATTTTATAATAAAATAATAATTGAGTAGTATATGGTGAACGAGAATAAATAAAAATTTTATTTTTTCTTATATCAATGAATAAATAAGTATTCTAAAATCAAATAAATATTAGTATGACGTGTTAGCAAAATTATATATTAATTAACATGTTAAGTTTTTGGCTTAAATAAACACCACTTATTAAAAGATGTGAAATATGGATGATCCAAGCCTATTATTTTTTTATCTAGACGTACAAGTCCTATAGAAATAATTGATTTATTATATGTATCACGTGCATCGCACGGGGTATGCACTAGTATATACTAACATAAACTCAATATATACCACCTGAGAGTTGCGTGAATTAAAGAATTCTAGTTGCGTGAAAAATATGTTTTGAAATTTAAATATGATATATTTCCATCTTCAATCCTAAAATTTTGCCTACAAACATGGAATGATTTTTTACCTACTTGTAACTGATTTTAGGCATGAATGTAATTAAATTTCATCTATTAGGTATATACACAATTAAATTGTTATGAATTGTAATGTTACAATTACTTCCAAATTATGTAGCATACATAAAAATTTCCCTAAAATTTATTGCAATTTTTCATATGAATTGCGAAATACGCATGCACTCCTATTTCAAATAACGAATTTTCAAGTGTTCACATTTCTCACATTCAATTTAATTAAACCTTAAATTACTAAAAATAGAAACAACAAATATTATATTACGTAAATAGTATCTATAACACGTATAATGTGTTTTTAAAATAATAAATAGATTCATTAAAGCAATAATTAAATAATAAGTAATGTAATTGTGGGATATAATTGTAAATTAAGTACACATGTATATGTATTAGAACTAGGGGAAGAGAGTGAGGTCCCACCAGATGAAGCGCACCATAAGAAGGTGAGCCTAGATAGACCTTAGTGAGGTTCCATCTCAAAACCAATTGGTGATGGGAGGAGTAGCTCACTAGGCTTATTTACCCTATAGAATCAATGTGGGACAAAGTCAGAAGTGATATTCTAATACGTCCCCTCACTTGTGAGTCCTTCATAAGCCCAAGTCCAAGCCCAAAGCAGACCGGATAGAGATATAGAGCCCAAGCCCAGAGCATGCCAAGTAGAAAGAGTCATTGTAGGTCCTAGGAAAAGCCGCTCGATCTGATTGCTATTTTATTGTAAACATACGAGGGTTGCTATATTATTTGGATATATACGAATTTTTAGCATTTTAATTAGCATCATACCCAATCTCAAACGCCTCACCAAAAAAAACGCACCCACCTTTAATTCCGATAGTTACGGGATTTCCAACAAAACAATATTTCTAAACATGGTAACGAGTAAATAATTTTTTTTTTGAAAGATTAACGGTTAGAGTAAAAAATAAACAAATAAACGTCTTTAAAAAAATAAATTGATGTGAATTTGAATGAACAAAAATATGAGACACGTACTTAGAAGCATATATATAACTTTCGACACTCCATCTTCCCTTTAGTGTTGAAGACTATGCGAACGCCGAACGAGTCTAATTTGTGGTTCATCACCAATTGAAAGCAATTTTCCACTCCTTATGTCTTTTTTCTTTTCTTTTTTTTTTGGGTATATTAAAGGTATATGGTTTTTATATTTTTGTGGATGGAGTCGTCTATGATGATTTTCATTCATTATATGATGAATGTACTATATATATAAACGATA